ATCACTCCCGCCGAGCATATAAAAAAAATAGGAAAATTTGATGTTAAAAAGTATGCGATCAGCCAACCTACCCTTTCCTTAGTCTCTCTTTCCCTTCTCTCCTCTTCTGTTCACTTTCTACCCAAACCGTTCCATCTTTGTCTTTCATTTTACATAAATTGTGATATTTAAGATAATTACAGCGAGAACAATTGCCACCGCAGATGGCCGTTATTATCATTTCTACTAGCCATCTTTTTCTATCTTATTATTTTGAATTATATCTTCTCATTTGACACTTTTCTCTTCCCTTTATAAAATTTTGCATAATGATTAATTTCTATGAAAACATACTAATTTTTGCAATGTATTCTGAAATTAGAAAGTTTTCTTATATTTTGCAAAATTTTAAAACTGTTTTTCTCTCTGAGCGACCATCATTCACAACAATAGTCAATTTTCATTTCTAAAATTCACATTGAATTATTTTCTCTCCTATCAGTTGTAGTCATATTCAATTTTGAAAATTTCGGGTGAACTAATTAATGAAAATGTGAATTTCGCATGATAAGCAAAAAAGTTAACTTTTTTATTTCATAAAAAAGAATGATTTAATAATCCTTTTATGAATTGATGGTTTATCAATTTTACATTTCCAATATTACAGCTATCACTAAAATTCTTACCATAAAAATCAAAGTAATTTACTACGATGTGATACATTTTCGAATTATTTTATATAATTTATTGAGAAGATTTCATTACTTCTATTCTTCTACTAAACATCTAAGAATTAAGTCGATCCATTGTTATCATTGCTAACCAATGAAATCAATGGTAATTATCAATACGGGTCAAACTTGTTGAAATTTGATACGAATTAAAATTTTTAGGATTCTGTTTTTAGAATCACTTTTAGAATTCTGTTTTTATTTGTAACGACAAAAAAAATTTTATTACCTATTACAAAAAAAAAAGCGGTACAAACAGAATTCAAAAAGAAAAAATCAACGATTTTTTTTTTCACTCCATTAAGAAAATAATAAAAATTATCACCCCCGAATATATCTGTCAAAGTTAAAGAGAAAAACATTTACTTTTTAAAACTTTTATTTCCATTTTCATTCAACTAAAGCATTCACATTCTATCATTTTCCTTACAATGTAAATGTTTTGCACACGTCTAATCGTATTTCGATGTGAAAAAACCACTGAAATGATCCTAACGTCGCAGAAATTTCAAATGTTTCAACCAATTCAAAAGCGTTATTAAATTTTATTGATTGATATTTTAAATTTAAATTGTGACAGTTTATAAATTTATTTCAACAAATTATCATTGAATTTTTCAAAAATAATTTGTCTGTTTGATTATAAACAATTCAAGCAACGAAAAAATCATTTATATATAACCATTCATATTTCACTGAGCTAAGCATTTCATTTTTTTTTCAATAATTTGCTCAGTGAGTGATTTAAAATATAAACTTTTTAAGAAATTCTATTTCCATCTTTCCTTTTTTGAGTTCATTAGTAAACTGAACTTATCATTAATTACTGACAGAAAATGATGGAAAAACAGTTTAAGAGAATGCCAACTTTAATTCGTAGCGTGCATTACTCCTTTTTTTCGCATACTCATTTTTCCAAAAGTTAAATAAAAAAAAAAAGAAAAACTTGGTTTAAAAAAAAAACGATGAAATCTTGTTTTAGGATTGCATGTGATGGAAGTTGGTTAAAGTACAAATTTATAGAAGATGAAAGATGAATCGTACATCATGTTTGTTCGATTGTTAATAAAAGCTATTGATGATAATTGATTAAATAAGCAAAGATGTTTGGATTAAAAGATGGTTAAATGAGAAAATGGACAAATCATGATTCATTTAAGAAATTGAAAGTAATATTTTTTAAATTCACTCTAATTTCTACTTATAATGTTGAAGTAAACAAGTTTAGATGAATTAAACATTTTATGATTGTTTCAAACAGAAACTGTTTCTTGCTTACCAGTTTAACATTCATTATTACAGCAATAAAATTAATAAGATAATTAGACTGTTTTTAAACTTTCAATTAACCATTAGTATAGTGAAAATTTCTCAGCTTGTTTTTAATTCTACAGAATTATTTAATTTTATTATATGAAAAGTATTTAATGTACGGCAAATACAATAATGATTTGATGGATTTAAAAGGTCAAATTTTGTACGCTCTTTTACTAGCGTGTGTTGATATTTTAATCTTGACCTCAATATAAATGATATAATCATTCTGCATCACATCATTCTATTTTTTATTGAGAGAAATACATTAATAGATTAATTTTAATTTCAGGTCAAAATTGTTCCATTTTCCAAAACTAAATTTGATCAAATTTTTAAACTAATTAAATTTTAATGACTTATTTCTTCTAAAAAGCAATTTTTTCCTTTTTTTCCTACTACCGAACTGTTTTTTCCTCATCACTTCTTGTTTCTTTCCTTTTTTCTTCGTCACCTCAATATTTATGTGATATAAATCTGAACAAAAATTCATACATTTTCTTGTTTCCACTTTTATTTCTTTGTGATTTTTACGAATCTAACACATTTAAAATAATCCTTAAAACCGGATCCGATTGACGAGAATAGGGATAGTGACAGTCATACATTGGCCATAATCCCAAAAGAGCTGAAATGTCGATTCAGGAAAAGAAATTACTATAAAGAGAGATATCAAAAATTTAGTCATTTTAATTAATTCATCTAAAATTATTTCGATGTCAACATCGACACTTTTTCGGTGGATAATGAAAGATTGTATTTATTTGATCTTAATGAAATTACCAAACATAACCGCAATTTTACGAATAAACATTTCTACTTTTGGTCAACTAAATTTTTTAGGCTCTAATTTAAATTATTGTCAATGTTTCAGCATTCCGGAACTTATTTACACTTGCAGTATTCACGTCGTTGTAAAATTGAGCAAATGATTAGTTCAGTGATTGATAAAAAGTTACTTTTCTTTGCTGCGCATAATTTATGATTTCAATGAAATTTATAAATCAATGAGATTTAAATTTATAAATCTAGTTTAGATTTATAAATTCAAAATTAAATTAGAAGTCGTCAATTACGATTGATTATTATGTGTATATGTATGTATAATACTTAGGTTTGAATATAAAAAATGAAAAGTTTTTCACATAAATTATTCGATTCAAAATTTTATCATTTCTTGAATCGGATTTCATTGAAATTTCTCAGAGCTATTCATAAAATTAATATCTAAGTAAGTTTTATTTTTTGGAAAATGCTTTAGCAATTAATAAAATTTTTATCAAGAAGTACTTTCAAAAGCGGTACAGTTAGTTTTTTTTTTTGTAATTTTGACTTCACTGCTTTTGAAATTGAAGCCGATTTTTCTAAAACGAAATTTCTGAGAGAAATTCAACTTGATAAACTGATAGCCGTCAAATCGTTCATTTAATACATTCGTTAGTTATCAAACATAATAATTAGTCTTATTAACATAGCCTCAATTAAAGATTTTGGGAGGCTTTCTCAGTCATCTTTAAGGAAATAAATTTTTTGCAGAAAATCTTTATTTCAAATCTTATTAGTAAAGTTTGTTACAAAAGTGAAAAGCATCTGATATGAATAAATGCCAACTTCACCGAAATAGAGGAAATCAACGCCTAATCTTTCATACAATATCGTAACTTTGATTTTTGCAATTTCAACGTTTTAATGTCAAATTCGTCATACTATTGCTTTCACTATGGAAATCCAAAACGAATATCTAATACAAATGAAAGGTTACAGTTCAATTTTAAAATAATTTGTAGCATAAAAGCGAATTTAATAAAATTTTATGAAGAAGTTTTAAAGTTGTAAATCATAATATGATATAAATACACAGAAAGGAAAACGAATTAATTTATTATACAGCAGCTGTAATTGGTATCATTGATAAATCAAACGCTTTACAAATGCTCTGTAATGATAGCAAAAGTTAATTCCATCTCAAAAGTTTAACAAGTATGAAATTTTGCTTTAACATTCTTCATTTGATGTAGTCTTTTCCTGACAATGATTTTTAATCAAAACTGATTGGTTTTCAAGAACAATTCCCAGTAAGGAAAAATGAACAAAAAAAAATGAAAAGTTTCAAGTACTAATATCCGAAGCTTCTCAATCGTTGCAAAGAATTTTAAGAAACTTATAATTCAATTGATTTTAAAGTATTACTCTAATTTTATTATATTAAGATTTTTACTATTAAATAATTAGTCCACTTTTGATAGCTTAAAATAAGCCTAACGCAGTGCATCATCAACCAAACTGGTACTGATTTCATTGTTCACAGATATTGAATGTAAACTTTTAACCTTTGATCTGCGTTCTTTTATGGGTCCTTAACTTTTACAATGAGAGAATTGAACAGAACATCATATACTCTTCGAAATTCTAATCATATTTAAATTTATATTTAAATTTTATTCAAATTGATAGCACCTTAGCACCTGAGATTGAACTTTAAACAATCCTTAAAATCCATCATGAAAAATTTCTGATTAGCTGAACATGAAAATCATTATGTTTGCAGCATATACTTGTTGAAAACTGATTATTTTTTGATAACTACAATTTTTATTCCTTAGTCCATTTAATGAATATCAAAAATTAATGCATGTATTGAAGTTTTCCAATGAACGTCCTCTTTCTTCAAATTTCAATTTTTCATTTAAATTGTTTAAATAAAACATTATGTAAGTAAGAATTTTAAGATTGTAGATTCTTTTGATCATATACACAACTATTTTTAAACTTCAAATGCTCTTTAAAAGTTTTCTACTTGATAATTTTTTATTTAGTACTATAATTCATAATTGCGTGATATGAATTGGAAGTATTGATTGGCTATTTGGTTTAAATTCGAATTTTTTTGCAGTGAAAAAGGTCAAAGTCTAAAGATAAGTCAAAAAGGTGCAAAATTTACAACTCCGTTGGCTGCGAATAGCATAACAAATCATAATGGGGATGATCGAAGCGTTGGAAAAAGTGATTGCGAAGAATTTCAGAACTTTGGGTGTATTCATTGGAAGGAGACCAATTCGGGTAATCGTCATCATGCTTATTATATCGAGCCTAATGAGCCTAGGCATATTAAGACTCGATGAAGTTAATAATGTCAGGACGGAATACTCACCCAGTAATGCACCAAGCAGAATTGAACATGCTGTCGCAATGAATTTCCTCGGACAGGTGATGTTATGAATTAATTTTCAAAAAAAAAAAATAGCAATGATTAATTTTTGTTTACAACAATACAGAAGGTGTCATCGGACTTTTCAACAGTAAATAACGCTTGAGAATGAGGTATTAAGACTTTTTTAGTCCCGTAAATATTTCATCATGTAAATAATGAAGGATATCTTCTTGATATTCGGTTATGCAAATGATATCTGTAATAAAATGAAATTTCCCTTCTGCACTTCAGAAATATCTGAAAAAAAGACAAAAATTTCTATAGTGGAGATTCTGAATCAATATACAAGATATTCATTTGCTTTTCACTTGAAATATTTAGAAATAAATTTTTGGTGCGAAAATATATGTTACTCGGATTGTTGACAATTCAGTTGAAGCTAAAAACGTTTAATTGTCGTTTCAGATTTCTTTTAATTTTCAATAATTTTAAATTTCCACAAAACAGATAGAATATTTCAGAACGGTACGTTGGATCCAGTATATGTTTTAATTGAGGCACGTGACAACGGATCGTTATTGCGTGATGAATATCGAAAAGCACTGATGCAATTCATTAAACGAATTCAATCGAATGTAACAGTTCAATACAAAGATCGAAAATATGGATTTAAGGAATTATGTGAGCCATATTGCGAATTAAATACCGCTTTCATGGGATTTCTGAGACTTTATGACCCGAACAATCAAGTTACATATACTTATCCAAGCATTGATCTTTTCGGCTCACAAATCTTTATTGGTAAACATTTTATGATCCGATTATGTGCTAAATTCTTTTTTTATTTATTTTTATGATATCGTATATTTATGGATTTGCTGAGAGCAAATACTGTAATATTTGCGTTCAGTAATATCAGTTTATACTAAGATTGATCCCGAGAAAATATTATTTCCTAAGGATGAAAATAGTAATTTTAAAGACTGGTAAAGAGCAATAGAGAAGATTTAAAGTAGAAAAATATTAAAAAAAAGCATTAATAAATTAAAAAATTTTGTTAATCGCTAATTATTTTGCATCAATCGAAACAATGCAAATTTAATAAAAAATAACCACAAAATGATAGAAACTATTTGCTGAGAATTTTTCCTTAATTTTTCATAAATAAATTTGATGACGGTAATTTTTCATTCCCCATTTCCTTCTTTTTTATCTTCTTATTTTATAACATTTCATTACTATTCCTTAATTATGAGGTTTTTTTTTTGTTATTTCTGTACTTGTTGAACAAACAGAGAAATCACAAAAATTTTTGCATGAAAATTTGTTGTAATTATTTAGATAATAAATTGATATTATTTATACCGTACAATTATGACTGTCGAGATGAGTACTTCGATAGATTATGCGAACCAATTAGTAAAAATGAGTAAATTATAACATTTCAATAGATGATTGTGTCATTTTTGAAGGAGAAACAAGAATGAATAGTCATTGATAAAATGTAGTTTTATCATTATTTTAAATGAGCGAAAGTATGAGTGAGCGAATATTGCCGTGGAGAAGAGTGTTGATAGCATTTTCCACTCTTCTGCAAATTTAATTCTGAATTTAATATTTTCTATGAAAAGCTTTTAGTGTTACTTTGCAGGAAACAATGTTTACGGTGTGGTACTTGAGGAAGGTACCAATTTTATCAAGTCATTCTCAACCGCAGTCATTGAGCTATTCATTAGTGCACCAGATGATGAAATTTTATATGAATGGCAATTAGAAATACAACGACAACATAGTCAAGAAGAATTTAAATTACTTAGTGTACGCAAAATTTACTTTTATTTAATTGTCAACAAAACTGAAAAAAATATAAAATTTTGAGAAATTTTTATAAAAAATAACTGCTTGTATACTACGGTGACATATGTATTTTTAAAAAGAATTTAAAAATTTTTTCCGAAATAAATTATAACAATAACATTATGCATTATATTATTTCCGCTTTTTTGCCAGATTACTTTCATTTATTTTTTAATTAACTTCAATATATTACTTTGATTGTTTAAAAGCTAAATGTTTAATTTCATATTTCAATATGTTGCAGAATTTTTTTTACATCCATGAAAATTAACAAAATTTCATGTGTTTTGCTACTGTACAAGAAATTGGGATTTCTCATTTAATTTCAAATTGAATTAAATTAATCTGGTTAATTTTGCAAGAAATCTATTTACTGATAATTAGAAATAATTTCATTTGAATAATGGCTGAGACAACCATTAAAAAATTGATGTTTGTTGTCGTTTATCGATGAATCTTTTAAAATAATTTGTTAATGAAATGTCGTTGCAACTGCTTTTGATCTTAAGATTGTAAAATTTTCATTTTTGAATGTATGAGATCTGAACATCTTTTCATCTGAATTTCCTTCTGGTTTCCTAAGGTCAAATTAAAAGAAGAAAAAAGATAAATAGGTGAATTCATTTCAGATCGGTCTCACCAGCGATTGCTTAGTTTCAGTAGAAGTTCGTCGGATGGGATCAGAAACTGTGCCTGTCCTTTTTGGATCCATCTGCGCTATGATATTTTTTGTTGCAATTAGCTCAGTCAGGTAAATTATATAAAATTTCTAAATCATGACACAGCTTGTTTTTCTAGTTCATTAATTCTGAATTTACTGATGGTAATAATAATCACTGATCGATTTTACTATTCTATTTTTGATAATGTGAAAAATTAAAAAAATTAATCTAATCTTCAACTTCACCACTCGATGCCAATGTATTTTTACACTTTTAATATATTACACAAAATTTCCTTATATTACAACTTTTTGAAAGAAATTAAATTTGCAATTGATTATATTTTTCTTTACTCATGACCTCAGATGACTAACCTCAGATGTCCTTTATCTATCATCCGGGTTTGGATGCTATTGAATATGTTATTGAATGCACTGCATCATTTCTTATTCAATAACATATTGTTATGATATTTTGAAATATGCATTATTTTCAATTAAATAAAAAAAAATTGCAGGAAAGATCCGATGAAAAGTAAACCATGGGAATCATTTATTGGAAGTCTAATACCAATCCTATCAATGTTAATGTCAACCGGAATACTATCACTTTGCGGACTTCGATATCAATCAATCGTTGTTGTCACATATTTTTTGGTTCTGTCAGTTGGTGTTGATGATGTATTTATCATATTATGTGCGTGGGATCGGACAAGTATTGCAACGCCAATACCTGAACGATTAGCGATAGCATTAGAGAATGCTGGGCCTTCTATTACAATTAGGTATGAGGTTATTAATTTTCATCAATGAATACTTTAATTAATTCTATTCTAATGTAAACAATTTTGCAATTTATCTAATTGAATATTTGATGTGTACAGTTCGTTTTTTTGAATTTTCCTACCTACTTTTTTCAAGAAAAAAAATTTCAGTTCACTTACAAATGCCTTATCATTTGGAATTGGTATCTTTTCATCAACGCCAGCTGTGCGTACATTTTCAATTTATTCATGTTTTGCAATCATTGTTTGCTATTTCTTCCAATTGATTTTATTCACCGCTGTATTAGCCTTAGGCGGAAAACGTGAACGGAGCAATTATCAGGCGTTATTTTGTTGCTCTAAAGCTGATTCTAGCGTAAGTTCTCTCCCTCTCCCTCTCTCTCTATATCTATTTTGTTTTGACCAATAATTCTGTTAAACTGTAACTTTGTCTGTTTATTTTATTCCAAATAAAATTGATTTTTTAAGGCACGAAATCGAATTATTGAAGAAACATCTCATTTTCAAATTTGGCTTATTAAATCATGGTCTTCTCTAATAATAACTCGATCTACTAGGTAATATATTATCATAAAAGTTTAATTTAACAAAATAATAAAGGTAATACCCACTTTTATATTGATAAGTTATTATTTTGCTTAAAAAAGATACAAAAAAGCTTGACTAATTTTTGAATTTTTATTTCTTCAAATATTAATAAATTTATAGATTTATGTGTTAATTTAATATTAACTGATTGGTAATTCAATTTGCAGGATATTGATTACATTGGCAATGATTATATATTATTATATATCTTTGACGGGTATTCTAAATATGGAAGCTGAAATTTCGGTCGGTAAGATGGCTCTTCCGGATTCATACCTTCATGATTTTCAATTTATTCTTGAAAATGCTCTCCGTAGCATGCAACCAATCACTATCTTTGTCATGAATCCAGGTGACCTAAGAGATCCTGATCGATTGAATGGTAAAATCCCAAAACTTTTATCATTTTATTTCTGACATATCATTTTAAAATTATCACTTACAAAGTATAATAAAATTAGAAACACTAAGCACAGTAGCTACTAGGAAAAAGTTAACAGCGGTCATCCGGAAATTTTACTATAATAAATGAGTAGAAGAATTTTTTTTCTATATTGCTTCTATTTGTAATAATTGTTTATAAAAAACGTACACTTAAGTTTCATTTAAGGTCTAATCAAAAAACTACATGCTTAGTTTGCCTAATTTCTTAATTTATTTGCACACTCCTCATTTTTTGTTAAATTTTAGAAATAAAGCAGTATAAGCAGTTTTTAAATATCATTTTTTAATGATTGTAAAACAATCCATTTCTGTAGAAAAAATTTAGGCATCAAATCTTTGGTATCGGAATATGAACACAGTCTTTACAGTTACGGTAATAAGTCAACACTTTTTTGGCTCCAACAATATGAAGAATTCTTATCGTAAGTTCAAATCAGTATTATTTATAAAATTTTTTGCTAATTTGAATTAATTTATTGTATTTTAATGAACATTCTTTAAGAAAAAGAAGAAACAAAAGGATAAGAGGTGAACCAATTGATCGATAATTTAAAATTATCATTTTAGATTTTATGGTGAATCAGAAGATTTCACGTACACAGACATTCCTGCATTTTTTAAATCTGCAACATATTTCTTCCTTAACTCATTTGTACGTATGAACGAAAGCGCTTGCAATGATAATGTACCGGAATGCATTTCATCCTTCTTCTTTGTCACTAATTTTCATGGGGTTTGTACTGTGATTAAAATTAGTCTAAAATCGTTGATGTCATTTGCGCCTCAGATAATATAATAAACTATAAGTAAGGCCTCTATAAAAATTAATATTATTTGTGCACTTCATAAATAAGGTACTATTTTAATTTAATGCATATGTTTATTTTTTTTCCATTGAAACTTTCAGTATTTATATTTAAAAATGATAAAGATTTATTTGCTTCGTAGTTTTTTCAGGTTATCAAATATGACGAAATGATACCAGCAGTTGTTGATTGGAGGCGTATAGCGGCTAAATATTCTGATTATGCTGTGTATCCATATAGTGACCATACTCCTTTCGTTGACCAGGTACCATTTCTTTGATACTGAACTTTACATTGATGCATTAAATATTAATAATTTACACAAAAAAAAAAATTTTATCCAACTTTTCGTTAAACTCAAATTTACATGTAAAATTGAAAAAAAAAAGAGGAAAACTTGATAAAAATATTAAAAACTTTTTTCTTTTTTCATATAAAATGCAATTACGTTTGTTTCAGTTATAAAATTTTCAAGCAATATTTTGAACTATTATACATTCGTATTTTATTTAGTAATTTCATTAAGAATTTCAAATCATTCAGACTGTAGCAATCAAAGGTACGATACTATGGAGTGTAATAGCAGCATTGTGCTGTTCGGCAACAGCCTGTTTCATTTTTATTCCGAATCTAATCAGTATTGGTTGTGCAGTTTTTTCGATATTTAGTATTAGCATTGGTATATTTGGATTGTTATCACATTTGGGAGTGGACTTAGATCCGATCACTATGGCTGCACTTCTAATGGCTATTGGATTTTCGGTGGATTTCACAACTCATATCAGTTATCACTACTACAGAACAACAGCTAAGGTATGTTCTGTTCATTTCAATTCTCAGTTTCGATGAATTCGTTTAAGCCATTTTGCATGATATGATTTATAGTGTGTGCTAAAATTTGTTCAATTTAAAAAAAATCATAGCACTACCATGGTTTATAAAATATCTTATTTTTTTTAGACAAAAAAATTTCGTCACTTTCTAAGGAATTATTGTTAGGATTTGCATAATTTTATTGCAGGATAGTCGAGGTCGTCTTGAAGAAGCGCTGATAATAATCGGTTGGCCAATGTTACAAGTGGCTATTTCCACTATTATTGCGTTGTTGCCATTGTTATTTAAGCAATCATATTTGGCGATGGTATTTATGAAAACTGTCACAATTACCGCTTTACTCGGTATTCTCCACAGTCTCATCGTACTTCCGGCTTTGCTCACTACCATTAACTCATTTATGCAAGGTATAATCAGTCATCTATTCCTTATGATGTCATTAATTATTATTCATAATTGCAAATTAATAATATCTCCTCCCTAAAATGATGCATAAATTATGAATGTAAACTGATCTTTGTTAATTTACAATTGAAAAACATTAACTGTTTGCATTGTTAATAATCTTAGATTCTGAATCGGGAAGGATCCTTTTTGTAATATTATTTTTTTAAGGATCCCACGAAGAAAAAGAAAGATCTCATAAATTGCAAAAAGCGATCAATAAAATCAAAAATGAGGTAGGCGATTGACCTTATGTATCATTTCATCACTTTTTGAATAAATTTCTTTTCAAATAAAAAAGTGGAAAATAAATTATTTTTAAATAACAAATCTTTATCAATTAACGTCTTTCGAAAATGTCTAACAATTTTTATCACTTTTTTCCGTAACACGCACTAAAGAATATTAATAAAAACGAAGTTGAAAAAATAATAAGAGCTTGAAACGAACTGAATTGTTTTAAATTTCAGGCTAAGAAAAAGCAATACAAGAATGGAGTATCACAGATAGGTAACGATATGAAAGGAAAAGATGCAAAGATAGCACCGATCTCAAAGCTAGACATTATTAGCATCGCTCCTGAGGCATATATTCATAAAATACAGCTTGGTAGAGCCTTATCATCTCCGATATCAACCGGTGATAAAAGTAATTCATAGAATTTTATACTTTATACAATTTTAATACCGAATGTCTCTCTGTTACTTCAAATTAAATAAAAATTTGATTCTACTCGAGCTTAATCCTTTCCATGCATTTATTTATTTATTTTTTCAAATTTTAGTGAATACTAATTTTATTATCAAAATTTCAAAATGTTTCAAAGAACGATCAGCGAAAAAAATATTCCCTCAAATTTTGATTCTCTTATGAAATGCGCAGGTACTTTTTTTTAATAAGGCCAATTACTTTGGAGATCTCTATTTCATATTATGTTGAAACACAACTTGTAAATTTATGAATTATGATTACTGTTAATAGAGATGTAATTAATGTTCGACGAGAATAAGACAAGTTTTCAGAACTTTTTGATATCCGTAGAAATTTTCAAAATTTCCATTAAATTTTATGTTTAAATTTATGAGAAATATACGAAAGAAACGAAAAAATTCAGCTGCTTAAATTTTGATGTTTCTTTCACATTTAAGCAATTTGTATATTTATAAGTTATAATTCTTGTTGGTGCATTCGGTTGGGCAAAGATTTTTGCAAAACTTTAAGCTTTCAAAATTTCAGCGATACTTTCTGGTAAATACGGAAAAATCATTGCAGTAGAACTTAGATGAATTTCTAGGCGTAAAACAAACGAAATTGGATTAGTTTACTCTAACATATATATGCTAACTTTTAATGTGTTCGTTTATTTTGACGATAAAGAATTGAAAAATAGCAAATATTTGCATAAGTTTTGTAGACATGCACAAATTTTCCAGGAAAAAGTTATAATCCCAATGATGATGACCTTTGTATTTTTCATCCTCAATTTAATTGCTTCATCTATACAGGAAATTTTCTGCTACTAAGCATTGAAATAAATTTAAATGCTTATTTATACCATGTATTGGTGAATTCCCCTAAGCTCTGTAACTGCAAGCATATGTCTATTTATGCTATTGTATAGGTCAGTTTTGTGGTTATTTGCCCCGTTGGATGCCCGCTGTCCATTTAAACTATTGTCCGAATTATAGCAAATAGATACAGATATTTACATCGATCAATTTGATTTCCACTTCTAAAAAATTTCTTATTTATGCAAATAATAGAGTGTTGTTGGTGTTGTCACATTCATTTGAGGCCTATGGTGAATGTCTCCGTGTACTTGCTGATGTCGCTGTTATTCGAATAAAATCTCGTTTCCTCTTGCATGGTATGATATTCTTCTTTCATATTTCAGTTTTCTGGAATACCAAAATTCGATCAAGCAATAGAATACGGTTCGAATTTAGCCATTTTATATTTTCTTTGAAAATTTGCAGAAATGCAATTAGTTCTGATTAATATCAACGATCAGCCCGTATCTGTCAATACGAACATCCTAGATTTGATAATTTCATAATGGCCTATTCCGCATCCATTCCGGCATTGCGTAAGCCGTTAGTTCCGGATATGTTAGTCAGACGAGGGATTCGGTTTAGCAAGAAAGGGAGGATTTTATATTAGAGCAATCTTTAAGTTGCACCGAAACATCATCAAAGACCATGTAGCTGAGATAATTCAAGTCAAGTCGGAATGGAGTGTGGATGAGCCGAATTTTATTGATTTAAACGTAAACTAAATTCATATACGGCTATAGTTGCTATAACGTGATGAAACTAGTTCAAGCGATATTGATTGATGGAAATCAGTAATTCATTGGTTATCTTTTGCAGTGGCGTGATTTGGTGCTAAATAAAGGAATGCAACTGGAACTAATCAGAAATGCTTTCTGAGTTAATCATTTCCTTTACATTGGTATTAAACGCTTTCACTGTTATAAATTTTAAACTGTAAGAATTTCCAACTGTGTAAGCAGTCATTGTATATATTAATAACAAATCAATTCTATTTTCAGTGTTGTAAATGAGAATCAAATTTGTATAGCAATCTCTTACTTCCTCTCTATTTCCTTAACTGTATGTCATTGCGAGAAAATGTGCATTCTCTTTAAATTTCATCTAATTAGCAGTGATTTTTGCATCTTTTTACAAGTATGGGTTGTCAATTTCAGATCTAATGCAAATCATTTCGATTCCTTTGTAATTATCGAGGGTGAAAATCGTTCAGTAATAGATCGTATACGGGATTTCCTTCGATCATTGCGTAGTTTTCGAATATTCATCGCTTTGTGGAATATTTTCATTATTTCTTTGATGTTTTTGTAAGTATTCCACTGGTATTCTGATGATTTTTATCAAATTGATATTGTTATGCTCACTCTTTTATAGAAACATTTTTGGGACAATGACAAGTTCTTCAAATAGGAAGAAAATAGGAGGGAACTGTTGTGAACCATGATATTTATGTATGTGATTTCAGCATTTGTTTAGGTTTTTTTCACACTAAAAGAGTTTATCAAGTATGCAGCCGGTGAATATCCATGATGCTGTTTCTGTGAGTCGTGCAACTGGAGCATGTAATAAATGGAGCGAAATGGAAACATTTGGCGGTTAGTATTTTAATTTCCAGTAACTGGTCGACTTTTCTTTAGTGATTCTGAAATTTAGTTGATTCTGAATCTTTTTTTTGTTGTTTTTTTGAGGTTATTCATTGAAGGAAGATTTTAAAAATACAATTTACTAAAAGATTCAGAATTAATAATTTAAAATCTATGAGAAATATTACCAGAGTAGCATTTTTATATTCAAAACACAAACTTTTATTTCAGTCGATGTTCCGAGTGGTCCATTGCGATCGAAACCGAAGCGATCAGAAGATCTTCAGTTTGACTTCGATGATACACTTTCCAGTTTGAGGTACAAAACACTTATTAGATGTTTTTCTTCCATTGATTTCTAGAGGTCTATGTACTACATGTTCTTTTGCAGGGGACAAATGGTGGCAAGAGTAGAAGAAGAAAAAGCACTGATTAAAAGCTTAGATGAAATGCTGCGGAAGACTTCAGTTAGTAGAGGTATTGCTTTTGTTGATGTTCTTTTTTTGCCCAAACAAAAAAGGCTTGCAAATAATTTAATTTTTATTTCAGCAGAACATACAATGAATTCAGATATTCCTTTGCCTTTTAATTTGGCGGTTACACGTCTAAAAAATCAAATGACATTGATTGAATCCGATGCCAAACAGCTTGCTAGTAAATTGAAAATGATTTCTGGCTTAGCAGACAGTATTTCAAGCAAGGTAATTTAACTCTTTAATTACGGTTATCACTTAAGGAAACAGAACTTGGATAGATGGGAAAGATATAAGTTTCCTAATTTTTAACGGTTTTATTCTGATTTGGTTAAATAAATGCTAATACATTTTTTGTCTCTTTGTCTTTATTTGGTAAAAAAATATCATCTTTAGTTCAGGTCTTGACATTAGACATAGCGAAAGGCCGAGTAGTCGAATGCTTACAAAGAGTCAGTGATTTAATGGATTTGCGCACTTGTGCTGACGGTGTACGTTCTGCGATAGAACAGGAAGATTATGAATTGGCTACTAGACACATCCATAAGTTTTTGACGCTGGATACAACAATATTTCAATTGGCTGATCACGGAGAAGCGAAGGGTGAGCAGTTGTACAAATAAAATGGATTCATAATTGATCATTTTTCAGTTGCTGAAATTAATCTCTTTTTTACCAGATGTCGACCAGTCAATGGGGAAGAGTTACGAAATCTTGCGTGAAGCAACCAATGAAATGAAATCAATAATCGAGAAACGCTTCGATCAAGTAACTCTATTATTATTCCCATTGCTATGCTTTTAGCCTCTGATTAGTCATTTACATACAATTGATAAATTATTAAAGCAGTATTGAGATTTGCAGTCTGATTGAAAAGTTTTTTAGAATTATTTTGTCTAAACACCGCTTCTTTGTGTATTACTTGTCTTTTCTTGTACAATGATCATATATGAAGTTTCTGTCAATATTTCATGGTTCCTACAGGTTTTCTTTTTATTCACCTTCACTTTTGCTGATCATTTCAGGCTGTTGTAGACAACGATGTTGCTTCGATTCAAAGATTTTTTAAATTGTTTCCACTGCTTAATGAGCACTCAAAGGGTATCAAACGTATTGGCGACTATCTTTGTGCTGAGATCCATCAATTTGCAGAGCGGAATTATAAAGTGAGTTCGTAATTTCCATGTGTTAAAGTAAAAATCTCTCGGCAGTTTTTTGTTTATTATGTTTTGTGTGAAGTTAATATTCAAAATTAACAATTCTTCTTGAAGTTTATTAGAATTTATAGTGTCTATTATCTTTTTTTTAAGTGAAGAATAGTTTTAGTTTAAAGGATTGTAGTTCATTTGGTAGGTTGATACGTTTTCTTCAAAGTCCTGAGCAAAAATTAAATTTAAAATATCCTTAGTTTTGATTGTGGATTCGAAAACGGAATCATTGAATTCATGCAGTCATAAATTTTTTCAATTCCGTTTTGCGATTTAATCTGTGGCCTTTTTTTAAAGGTAATGCTGGCCGGTGGTACCGATGATAAGAGAATAAGTGTGCTTTATGCAGATGCACTGACAATGCTTTTTGAAGGTAAGTTCAGAGTTGAATGCTTTCAGTTGTCTAAGATAAAGCGGATTATAATAATCAGTTGAGTTTCAGGAATAGCTCGTGAGATACAAGTGTATGAACCACTGATTAATTCCTCATATGGTCCGGATAAGTTGCTGTCATTAACTGAAATACTGCAGGTTGATGGACGTTTTCCTTTCTTCTTTCGATTTTTTTCTTTTCAAAATTTTTTGACTTTGAAAAGAAGAGATTAATAAAAAATATAGAGAATAATAGGGATAATTTTAAAGAGATGACTTTTTTTAGAAGGAATGCGACAAAGAAGCTGAAAGGATCATCGATGCATTCATCAAGAACAGACAATTTGATAACAAAGCAAAAATGGTTGAAAAGATAAGGAGGAACCCGGATAAATACATACTAGGTTAATATATTATACCTATCGCTATCGAGTTCCAAATTTCATTTTCGTAATTTTATTTACATTGAAATA